ATTTGCAACACACTGTACAGTCGTTTGCATAAAGATTTTCAGTTGCGAAACCGCGCAACACGTGTTTGTATATATTTGTCACAGTACGAAAATGGGTTGTTTGCTTGGCCAAAGTCACGATACCAAGGTATTTTCCCACTCTACAAATACATACAAATACATGTTGCGCGGTTTCGCAACTGAAAATCTTTATGCAAACGACTGTAACACGCTTTGCGTCTAGGCTTGTGACCAGCCTGGCTTACCAATACCACGGACAAGTCAAGTGGCGTAGCCAGGCTGGTCGATCTCAGAGAAATTTGGCAGGCAGAGCGAGGAGTTTGAAATTTAGTAGGTGCCGGTCGTGCTGGTGATACTCGATCGTATGTAGTACAACTTATGCGTCTACCGTCGTTCAGACTATATGCTATGTTAAGTTTCAACCATGAGTTCCATACGACCTTTATCACTCGCTGCTCGAGATGCGATTGAAGGTCTCCCGATGGACTTTATGAGTGCCCTTTCAACAACACAACACCAGCAAGTTCTCAAGGCCTTCTCACGACTCGATCTTATTTCCCAAGGATCACAATGTCCGAAGTTGTTTCAACTCAGATGCCTCATATCGTTACTTCCAACTAGCGCTGCCGCGGTCCGGTTCCGTTCGGTTCAGAGGTGGTTGGACGAGAACCCAAAACCGGACCAAGGTTCGGTTCTAGTTATTTCAACGAACCTTAGACCGAACCTTTGCGAATGGTTCGCAGCGGTCAGGTTCGGTTTTTTCTCGGTCTGAACGCGAACCGAACGCAAAAAAATTACAGCCAGGAAAAAAAAACATAGGCAAGATATTTGTACTCGTAGTTACATCTCCAATGAAGCCACATGTCCCTCAGCCTCTACTTCTGCAGAAAGATGCCCATTCCTATATGCTCCCTTCAGTAGTTGTAGTGCAGTGAATGTGTCAGTCGCGAGTGCATTGCGTCGGATAGTCGAAGTGATTCCTCCGCTTGAGAATGCTTGTTCGGAAGGAACGGAGCTGCCTTGAATGGGTAGATAGTCTCGCGCGATGCGCGCGAGTGTAGGGTATTGCAGCGAGTGAAGCTATTAAGTAGATTTAGTAGCGAAAAAACAAGTCAAAAAGAAAACTTACCCCCCACCAGGCCACAATGTCATCAGTCTCCTCTAGTGGCGAAGACAAGTACATGTTGAGCTCTTGACGAGGATTGTGAGTAAGGTGGTCTGATGTCTTACGCATCCTAATAGCCTCGCGCATCCAATCGTCGCCATAGTGCTTGCGTACACTGGCAGCTCTTGTCGGTGGAGCGGATTGCTCATTGGTAGTAGGTGTTCGACTCAGCGGTGTATAATAGTCATTGAACTACAAAAAAAAATAAGATTAGAGCAGGAAAACAACATAGATGAGTACTCACCACGGCCTCCAGACGAGCTCTGCCATCTGCAACATCTCCAAAATCCCACCGGCCTTCAACGTATGCGAGCTTATAGTTTGGATCAAGAACTTAAATTATATTAGATAAGAAATATAATATGTCAGTCAGTTTATTGCGCTTGATTTGACGGAAAAGTCATACCTTGAGCTTGATTGAACAGGTAGGCGTTATTGGACAGCAGGGTGTGCAGGATGCGAACCTCCGGACAGGATAAGTCGAAAAAAGTCTTGAGAATGCCAAAGGTCAAAGTGACCATGGCGAATCTTGAGGATCGAGAAGTCAAAATGACCATAAGCGTGTGATTGAGCCTTGAAGGTGTTGCAAGGAAGATTCGGTTCAGGGTTCGGAACGGTTCGGGAAGGTCCGAACCTATAGATGAACCGCACAGGAGTTAGCGGACCACGAACCTCATTCCGGTTCGGTCCGTGCAAAATGCTGGACCATGGACCGAACCAAGGACGAACCTGACCAATGGTCAGGTTCGAACCACGGTTCGGAACTGGACCACGGCAGCACTACTTCCAACACACTGAGAAACTGTACAAGGGCCTTGCTTCAAAAAAAACCTTCTTTCAAAGGTAGCATGGAGGTCATGTTCGAAATAGAGTGCAACATAAGGTTTATGACCGTCATACGAAGCCCACGCGAAGGACTCTTAGGAACGCAAGGATTTTTTCATCAATGTCGAGGCTCGAAGGATTGACAATCCAAATCAAAGGCTCAACAGGTGGTTGATGTTGCGGTATGGGCAATTGAAAGGCATGAAAAGGTATCATTTTATCATCCTATTAGATGTTAAGTACTGTTGCTTGATAGACTATAAAGTTTGAGAGGCGTACAATGCTTTGCTTAAGGTGCGAACGAAGGACACTGTACAAGATACAATGTTTACCTAAACCGGCATCTGTCAAATTTCAAACTCCTCGCTTCTCCTGCCAAATTTCTCCGAGATCGACCAGTCTGACTACGTCAAACACTTAACAATATCAAAGACGTAGTCCAGACTGGTTACGAGTCTACTTTGCGTCAAGATTGTCCAAACCGCTAAGTGCGTACCAACTCCAACAGCGCAGTACGTACTACATCATACACGAATAAAAAGAACTTTGATAGTGATCGGACCATGCATGTGATGTCAGGGCTCTGCCCCGACAATAATTGAGCATTAGAAAAAATTGGACCACGACAATCTTTATCCCACAAGTCCCAGACTTCAGAGAGACGACTCAGAGATATGTTTGCGCTTCTAACCCTAGGCTAGAATGATTTTGTAAATAGTCGAAATTCAATACTGTACCCAAGACATACCTTCGGTGTCGTGAAGAGCTGAGTATCTAACAGAGCGAGTAAGTAGAGCACTCGAAAAAAGGGTACTAGATAATTACATTCAGGGGCCTAGCGACACATTCCTTATGAGACAGGATGCACAAAATACAGACAAGTTAGGACATACTTGTCTCCGGCTGGACTGGCTCGGTCGGTTTCTTGTCAAGAAGATAGTTCCAACACCAGGGTCCGAGAAGCCCATCACAAGTAACGGCCGCTTCCATCTGCGGCAGGAGAGCGACGGTGACAAGACAAAGAGCCAAAAATCCTTTCATGACTGTTAAATGTGAAGTGATTGTTGAAGTGAGGGGTGCTGAGTTGAGTATCGATTCAAGGAATGCCGCTTTTATATATCGCTGTGACAAGCTGAATAGTATTAGACTCACTGTCTAAAGCCTTCGTTGAACATGACGTGTCAGCGCAACGTGCTTTGCTCATCAAGACATGACGTGTCAGTGCAACGTGCTTTGCTCACATCAAGACGTGACGGATAGACAGCCGATGACGAGACAATGTCCAACATACTACCCCAAAGGACTCCACACTCTGAAGCAAGACATGACGTGTCAGTGCAACGTGCTTTAAGACAGATACGTCAGACGATTTATGTATACAAAGTTATGTGACGGGGCCCCACGCTACCGTTGCGTCAGTTGCAACATTGACGCGACATCTCTATTTTTGCACCGTGACATCCCTTTGGATCCAGAAATTTCAAATGTAAAAAGTCGCAGCTCGACGCGGCGTCCATAGGAAACAGGCAACAACGCGACTGATGGAATGCAATGAGATGCGACATCCTTAGGCAATAAGATTAGAATTGAGTGTATTTCGCAAGATAATGCAATGTTGGAACCACTGAATACGGTGCGCAAATAAAAGCTGAATGATTCTATAGGACCCGTCTGGTTGAGCTGACAGCGCCATTGGAGGAAGATGATCTTGCCCGGACCGAAGAATGAGAAAACAATATCAACTTGAAAAGCGAGGATCCTGGATGATTGACGAATGAAGTATCCAAGAAGTTGTGACCGCTGGCGGATTCACCCACTGCCGAAAAATACCGGGCCAGACGAATATTGCCATAGGGTATGTACATGCCAGGGTCCATCAAGCTTTGAAGCTGAGTTCGAGAGTGCCTATATTGGGAGAGGTGATGAATTCAAATAACAAAAGAAAAACTGAATTTGCCATAGTGGACCAACTTAGCCGTGATGGGCCAGGTGAAATTGACGCGGCCCTGCCGCGCCTGCCGCGGTCGTGACGCGCCTGTGACGCGGCACTGACGCGGCATATGTGACGCGGCACTGTAACAAATTCCTATGTACAGATCATGTTTACACAACTTCATATCGCATTCCAAACACTTTGAATCATCGTTAATGATCAACATATGAGTGTCTGCCTGCGTACAGGCTCTATAGTGCTGTATTCACCTCTCACCAAATTTACAGTGCTTGTCCTCTGCGTTCATACTACTAGTATGCATCTTGCGCGTCAGTCCTATATTGTTGCATTACCTCTAATTCGTTCATCTATGTTGGTTTTCAGATGCAGTGTCAAATGTTGTCTCACTGCGTCAAGCTTCGACCTCACCCTGCTAAGTTTGATCCACTCTCTATACCCTGCACCAACACGTCGAGCCCCAACCATGGCATGTCAGAAGCCTCGTTTAGGCTGCGTCAAGCACTACTCACACCACGACAAGTTCTCCCAAATATCTTCGCAGTCTCTGTACTAATATCAACATCTACACTCTATGCCGCGTCAAGGCCTACTACAGTGCCGCGTCAACCATAGCACATACCGCGTCAGTTGCCGCGTCACATGCGCGTCAGTGCCGCGTCAAACAAGTTGTGCCGCGTCAGTTGCCGCGTCAAACCTCCTCCATGCCGCGTCAAACCTCCTCCATGCCGCGTCAAACCTCCTCCATGCCGCGTCAGTGCCGCGTCACAGGCGCGTCACGCCGCGTCAAACCTCGTCACTGCCGCGTCACCCGCGCGTCACGCCGCGTCAAACTTCATTCATGCCGCGTCAGACCTCACCACTCTCCACATGCCGCGTCAAACCTCACCACCTCAACTGTCACACTGTCCGTATAACTTAGGTATATTTTACTTTACATCTGTCATAATAATTGATATTCTAACAGTGTTCCTTTTCATCCTGACAGAATTAGACGTCGTACACTGTAATTGTCCATAGGCAGTAATAAATTTATTTTACTAAGCATTCTTTCGTTGTCTCCTCTGGGCTCGAGAAACAACCCTTATTATCGCGCTTTTGTGAATCGTATCATGGCCTTTGTGAGTTCTTTAAAATACGGAGTAAACTTGTTATAACCATCTTTTAGCAATTAATCAAACATATATTCAACTTTTTCTATCCCAACGAGACAGAGAATCAAAATGATCCAGATCGGCCGGGTCCGCTGCTGAGTTTTGGGGACCTCATACCCTGCTATGACCGTTCAGGTGCGTCATCCGACATATTCTCCTTGTGAACATAGAACAGGCAATGTAATAGCTTATCTTCCGGCCTCCGTGCAGACCGCTCAGCCATCACATGACTCTGCACACTCCGTCCCGAATCCACCACCCCTCCCTCAACACATGAAACACCACTCACAGGAGTTATTCGAACTCTGCACGGACTTGACAGTCCAGACTTGAACCAATATGGTGCGGAGGCATACCCCGTGATAGACTACATCTTGCGATCGAAGAAGAAGCCAGATGGTGTGGGTGCATACAGCATACCGTTTTGTGGTGACATCTCATCTCACGAGTATGCCAAAATTGCACGTTGGTTCTCGGAGAATGTTCCTGGTGCTTCCGGTCAAGTCGAAACATGGCTTGGTGGCATGCCTTTGGTGCATGCTTTCACTCTCGTGGTTGCTCATCGAAAGGCCAGTGATTTTGAAAAACGCGTCGAAGCTCGAAACGAAGAATGGAACGATAGCATGCTGTTGAAGATGGCTTGGGCCGATCTCATGATAAGCTATCCTACCAATAGCTTCGTGGCTGATGTCGACCTCGAGTGTCTGACCGCACTAGAAGCAAGGATGTTCGAGGATTCCGAAGAAGCAGGACCTGCAGGCAACCAGCAGTGGGGTTTGGATGCTGGCCAACATCACAGGCGATGGAATGTGTATCTCTGAATTCCTGATGAATGGGTTTCTGCAAGAGATTATAGCGAAAGTGAACTTGAAGTGAGGAAGACATTACCTGCTCCGTTCGATAGATATCTAACTTATGTGATTGACAGCGCGGCCCCTTATTCAGTGATAACTCTGATGCTACATCTTTGGAGTCTGCAGACGAGCTATCCGAAGCTGTAGTTCCTTCTCTGCCGGCCGAAGAATGTCCGCCCGTTAAACGTCGATGTGCTCCACAGGCTCGAAGGGATCCAGAGAGGGAGGAAAATAAAATAGTCATTGGCTTATGTATACCTAGTTGTACATGGCTCTGAGGCAACTAAAATAACAAAAGAATGGTCGTGAACTCATCCAACTTGATCTGGAAGTTGAATGTAGAATATAGGAATGGCGCGTCAGTGGCCGCGTCAAGGATCGTTAGTGCCGCGTCAAGGCTCGTCAGTGCCGCGTCACGACCGCGGCAGGCGCGGCAGGACCGCGTCAAAATAGCTACGCCCAGCCGTGATCATGTGACGCAACTGTCACGACATCAACGACTCAGTACTGAACTTTGTCAACGAGGTCAGACACTTGTACTACTTCATGCTCCTGGACGCTCCACCTCCCAAAATTCCAGAGCGAAGGGCACTTCCCATATGTCTTCCTTTTCTGGATGTTTGAATCTTATGAAAGGGAGTAAATGCGACTGTAGTAGAGTTACACAAGCCCTTCTGAGTCCACGGTACGATGTCGCTCCATTGTCATTGTCAATGTGGTCAAGGTTCTGGACTAGATCATTTTGCAAATTGCAAACGTTCTGTTGAAGGTCAAGATGGGCTGCTAAGTCCTCCATCATCCCAAGATACCCGTACAACCCGTGATGCCAGGCGTTTTGATTTGAGGTGATCACCATCCGACCGCGATTGTCATGAGATGAGGAATTCGGGTCTCAGCACGACGTGATATAGTCCATCACAAAGTAATATGCCAGGTGACGATTCTTGTTCTTATATGGGTCATATATTTTCCAAAACCTCGAAATAAAGTCTCACTCGAAGAAATATGTCTCAAGCACGCATATTGGATTTCCCACTTTTCCTCTATCTTGGTCATCGGTCTGACGAATACGTTTTTATGGTCACTCGCAACAATATAACTGTAAGTTCGACTTTAAATATTGTTCGATTGTTCGCTTACTCGTCCAAGCATCAAGCCTCAGTGTACCAGATCCCTGCCGCCTATTCTAAGCGGCGTTCCCATCCTCAAGGACTTGAATCTCGGCTTCTCTGCTTCCAGAAGTCGATGCATGTTTCACAGAGCAAATACTTCAAAAGTCACGGGAGGGGACCCGATGATCGATAGATAACGGTAGCGTCCAGTCAAAGTTAGACCAACCGAAGGAGCGATCTGCATTGACGTATTATGTCCTCAGTGAGAGAATGAGAAATATTCTTCGCAAATTTTGAGGCTTGATTGAACCTCGGCCCCTCGCAATATGCTTCTACAAGCCTAGCCTCGATGTCATATTGCACCGTCGTAGCAAGTATTTTCTCGGATAAGTGTCGTGAGCCTGACTGACGGTATTTTACTGGCTTGCTTGGTTCTAGAGTCCTGACAGTTATTCGTCTCGCAAATGAATACAATCAATAACGTCTTGCATTGTTGTGCTTGGCACCGAGAGTTTTCGTGGTGAATCGATCCGTATTGCTGAACCTGTGGCGAAGGGAGAATCCTCTCCGAGGGTTGAACAAGACGACTAAGTCATTCGACGGCGGGATGACAGACTCCACTACTAAGCAGAAAACGCAAAAATGGTAAACACACAACTCAAATTTCTCGTGAAGTTGATCAGCTCGCGAACCAGGCTTAACCAGACTACTTCTATTTGGCTAAGCTCCGGGTTGTCTGACATCATCACTCCCGCCACGATCTACGCCAGCCACTGTGACACTGATCCCATCAGCTACCCCCGTCAGTGGCTAGCCACCCTTGCCATCTGCATCAACCACCCCGTCAGCACTTCAGCCACCCGTGTGTCACACTTCAGTAGGTGCAATCAACGATGAGTCCAATTGATGACATTCCACAGGATGGCACCTGGAATACTTGGCGGCTGTACAGCTGTATTCGATGATATGTTGTCTGTAGGCACGGCGGGCAACATGAAATGGCGGGAGAGGTTGATGGCGGGATGGCGGGGGACTGACAGTAAATCATGACATAATACAGCGGGCAGACAACCATAGACTTCCCGGCACTTTCCGGACAACTGCTGGCAGACCTGTCCCCCAGACTTTAACACGGAGTCTGTGACTTGTCTGTATAGACCTCACGCAGACTGGCCAAATGCCGCACTTTCTGCAGAATGGTAGATTCAGCAACACTGTTACAACTCCGATACGGAATAGTGAGAATTCCTTATGTCATCAGACTCCCTGGCAGACAAGCACACATGATTCACTTGCGAATCGAACCAACGCATTCTCGCTCTCGACATGCTACTCACGATGATGATCTTACTATCACTGGCCGGCAATTCGCCTTATGGAAAATTAACGTCTACATTGCCCTGGTTTTCCTTTACTCTCCAACAGGTCTGCAGTTCTGAGACCCGTAGAGGGTGGAACCTGACCGTAGCCTCATCTCAAGGCTGCAAGCCAGTAATGGCAGCAAAAGCTCACACACACCAAGTTGTACCTAACTGGCAGGTTAAAACTGTTCCAACTGATTCACAGCCACGATGTACTGGAGGTTGTACCATTGTTATAGGACCATTATTTCCTGATGCACTGAAGATCCAAGGGTGATGCCATCACATCAACATCGCTGGGTGACCACTGACTGGATGGACCAGTGAGTTTTGCTCTTGTTGTTTTCTCGGTTCCATCTGTGTCACAGGATACGTTGTCTATTTTACAAATTCAACAAAAATTGCGACCCTCGTCCTCTGAAAACTTAAACTAACGCGTCACCAACAGGAGTAGCTATGCTCTCTGGAGTTCATCAAACTCACGATAATGATCTTCAGTACATACAATACTTCCACGAGGCATGCGATGCTTACCGCGCGCGGACTGTGTCTCTCTTAATGAGGCAGGAACCATGTCGGGTGTGTGAGGAGAGTGCCAAGGGCCAGTCTGGGAGGAATGTATACTAACGCCGTGCCCGCATGTAAAGGGAATGATGAGCAGAAACAATTTCATTGGCCAGACGAATATTGCCTTAGGGTATGTACATGCCAGGGTCCATGAAGGCCGGAGTTCGACACTACTAAGCAGAAAACGCAAAAATGGTAAACGAGCAACTCAAATTTCTCGTGAAGTTGATCAGCTTGCGAATCAGGCCTAACCAGACTACTTCTATTTTGCCAAGAGTGAGAAGCAGTTTGAGAAGCTGGACTGTGAGTCAATACATTCTTACCAGGTTCAAGCGTTGATTTCTTGGCAAAGACTTTGACAGCTTTTTTATTGAGACACTGCTCTGATATTTCTGTCCATCCGGCGGTCTTGCCCAACGCATCAGCGCCGACATCGGAATTAAATTACGACTCTTCTGATCTTACAGGATGGATGCCTTCTGTTGGCACTCAGATGGCTCCCGGGATAGACCTGGGGTGACGACAAGTCATTCATGTCATGTTAGTGGGGAACAGAAATGGAAGAGCGTCCTGAAGCAGCAGTGCCTTAGGCAACTACACCTTGTGGCTTGAGCAGCCACGTCCGTTGACAAATCGATTCTGAATTTCTAGCAGTGAGTCCGTGACGAAAGCTGTATCAAATGTCCGTGTTAACGGTTTTTAGTCATTCTGTGGCATTCATCTCCCTGGCGCGGCTTCGCACGTCATCAAATACTTTTGTTAAGCCTTCCAAGCACTCCGTTCTGGTACGAGATCGCATCAAGTGAACCAAGTGCCAGAAGTGAAGTGGCCGTTCATGGTACACCACACGAGTATCGCATGAAAGTCATTGCTTGGCAAGATTCGCCATGACACTTCCTTATCGGAGGCGTCCAGGGTGTGGTATAGCGGATATCGAGGGTGCAAACACCCCCTCCAAGAATCTGGGAAGCTGATTTCGGCTCAGCAATAACCGATGCACAAGTTGGAGCATGTATATTTAAACAGCTGTGATTTACCGTTTCTCTCCCCCATACTTCTCTGCATACTACTATGGTCCAGACCGACGAAGGCCATGGCATTCCTGTCGTGCTCGCGAAGAAGCCCGATGTCGAACCTCCTTACTCTGTGTTTACGACTTGTGAAAAATGGCTCATAGTGACTCTTGCATCTATAGCAGGGTTGTTTAGGTGAGCAAATGGTCGTTCCTCGACATCGAAACTGTTTGTGAATAGTTTTGTCAGCCCGTTGACGGCGTATATATACCTTCCTGCGATTCCAATGATCGCGACTGCGTTTGGCAAGACCGTTGAACTTACGAACCTTACGGTGACGGTTTATTTGGTGTTTCAGGGTGTATGTCAGTGAAGCCTGCTGCATGCAGTTTGTGCCGGGGCTCATCGTTACCGCTTAAGCGCCCATGTTCTGGGGCACTCTCGCAGATCGCATGGGCAGGCGACCAACGTCGCTCGGATGTTTGTTTGTTCTCAGCCTTGCTTGTATCGGTCTGGCTTTCGTACCGACATCATACTTCTGGCTGTTGATGGTTCTTCGATGTCTCCAAGCGGTTGGTAGCGCTAGCACGCTCATGATCGGTACGCGCGCATGCTTTATTTTTTCGCCTTATCTCATTCCGAGATCAACCAGCCTGGCTACGCCACTCGACTCCTAGTTGGAATATGGACATCGATAAACGATAAACGATGTTAAATTGACTGACTACGTTTATTGTTTATCGGCGAGCCATTGTATCGCTTATGTAATGCTTTGTAATACGAACCATAAACCATGCATTACGGACCCCCATGACTACGCGATGTTTTTAGTACTCACAAGCTAAAACTTCGGTGCATATCGACGAGTCAGAATATCGCACAGTAAGTATTTGTAGCTTACAGTTTTCAGTCACCCATCCAATATTGGTCGCCTCCAACTTCATGCATGCATGCTCGAATTCAGCCAACACTGAGACAACTCACCGATCGACCAACTGTGATCATGATGGTTCTTAAACGAGCGACATTACTACAAAGAACTCTCAATCTAGGGCGTATGCTAATGTTGGACACAGTCATCTTTCTGTGCCACACACTGCACAGCGTGTGTTTGTTAAAAGATCTGGCTGGCAAACAGCATGGCAGATGGTACACTTCGAAACATGTAAATTAGTATATTCTGAACGCACTTAAAGTCATCGTGCACAAAATGCGGCTTTCCGTTTCATCTATACTTCAATTTTAATCGCCCTGCATCTCCTCTGGTGGGGGACCTTGCTGTTCGCGCTCTTTTCGTGTGGCTTGTACGACGTCGTCGACACGCAATAGCATACGAGCGGCCTGTAGACATGGTAAGCAGGTAGCACACGCGTGATGAACAATTGATATACCTCAACTGCGGTTTTCAGGATTTGGATCTGAACGTGCAATAGATGGATGGTCAGGGGACTCGTCGACTACAAATCCACGGAGCGCACCTTTACGCTTGCACTCTCATACAAGCCGTATTCTTTCATATCGACTATCTTTCCAGTCTCTCCATTCACGCCCCATGAATGCTCTCCGTTTGCATGCTTAGCCTATCAGAGGTCATTAATCAAGGACGATTTCTCCACAGGAATATTACCACACACCCTGAGCTCTGTCAGTATCCTGATAGCATTTCCGCCACTATTTTGCACCAGAGTTCGTGGGATCACCTCCAAAGCATCTGCAACAGCTCTGAATGGCCATCCCTCAACCCCAGTAACGCTGCGTGCCTGAGCGTGCAACCCCACGCTGATCGCCATCTCGGTCGCACCTCCTCCCGGCGCGAGGAGAGGATTGAAGTATGCATTGCGCGCAACGCTGAGAGCATCTGCAAGATTACGATCGATTTCATTGAGTATGTCCTTGGAGGGGCCGCGGAGGAGAATGGTGCACGCTTTGGGGTTTTTGCACTCGGTAAGGAATGTGAAATATCTAAGTGGATCGCGTAAATGAAGGAGCCAGGCAGAACTGAAATAACGAACTCATCCCCCATCTTCTCGATATTGAATAGCCCACATTCCGTGCCAATATCGGAGTCGCGAAGGTCTTCCACGCGGTTCACGATGGTTGCACCAACGGCCAGGGCAATACGGTTGTTGTCTGATTTGCGGACGCGTCGAATAGCCGAAATGTTCGCTCGCTCAAAAACATATTGTGCCGTATCTGAAGGAGAAAAAAATCAGTAGCCCGGGAAAACTTCGACCTCAACACATACCCGATATGCCTTTCTCGGTAATGATAAGATCGGGTTTGAATTCGAGCAAACGTCTACACTGCGCAATGACCTGCTCCTCCTCGATCTCCTGTGCACGTTGCCAGTCGCTCTCCTTGGAGAATTCCATGTTGGTCTGACTCTCACCCTTCTTGTACTCAAGGGGACAATCGAGTAGAATAATACGTGGGTTCTTGATTCGTCGGCGCATGTTTGGGTGGGTGATGTCTTTGTTGAGAAGGACACCATCGAGGACTCTCGACTCCTCAATGGACCCACCTGGAATTTTTTCGACACGTGCATAACGCTTGATGTCAACGCTCTTGTGTCCAGCGTCATCCGAGGCAACGGTGCGTACGGCTTGAAGCGCTAGATGGCACATTAAATCGCTCCAGCGTGCCACGAATTTGGTGCCGATGGAAGTTTTAATGAGAGAAAGCATCTCTTCATCAGATGACGTGTCAATGGGGATGGAGATGCGATTTACGATCGCGAGAGCTTCCCTGAGAGCTTTGTTGTAGGCGGAGATGATAACCACAGGGTGGATGTCGCGTTCAAGCTGCGAGAGGGATTGAGCAAGGATTTCTCCCGCTATGAGATGATAAGAAAATAATATGGTTTCGAAACTTAGGAACGCACCAAGGATGATAACGCTGGTTGTACCATCACCACATTCTTCGTCTTGAGTACGACTGAGTTCGATCATGTTCTTTGCTGCAGGGTGTGCGACGTCGATTTCACGGAGAATCGCGTTTCCGTCATTTGTCAGTCTATACAGTTATACATTAATCAGATATATTTATGGCAGGAGACGTGTAGAGACGCACAGTATGCCGCCCATTGGATCGAGGATCATCTTGAGCATGGCTTTTGGGCCAAGACACGTTCGAATAACATCAGCAATAGTCTGTTCAAGAAGCAAGTATAAACGAGACAAATATGAAACATAGGTTGACGATGATACTTGCCTTTGCGGCAGTGATGTTGGAGATCTGGGCTTTCCTTCCTGACTGCCTCTCCGGTGCAGTGTCTGCAAAACATCGCGTTCAGTGATGCATTTAAAAAGCACGGGCGGTACATACTCATGACGAACACTGGAGTCTGTCCTGCCTGCATGGTTGGATAATGATTGTGGATCGCACTGGACAGTGAGCGCTGAGCGATCAAGAGCAGGCCAAAATGCTGTCACACTAACCGAATCCTGTGACACATTGTGTGACATTTATGTCACTATAGTTTACTTCGAAACTTTGAATCAATGAGATCATTCACCATCTTGCATTGGCAGTAATATGGCTACTGCTGAAATTCTGAACTCACAGATCAGCAAGGTATATAGTCATTCTGATCTGGACTAAGCAATCAATTGTTTATCCCTCGCATCAATAGAACAGTCACGGTTGGAAGTAGAATATTATAAAAGTGTGCAGAAAAGATATCATCGCCTCTGCAGACTGAAGGGTCTAGAGAACAAGAAGTGTCAGTACGACGTGAGCGCTTCTAAGATAGAAAGGCACTGCTAAGGTGATTCATATCGTAATTCCGATTCTACACTACGAACTGCAAAAGTCAAAAAAATCATTCCATCTCTCTAAGCCATTATGCGCTAAGCGCTTTATCAGTTTTGAGATACAGCCTGACACACACGTCTGCCAGCGCGGCATGGAGGTCCAATACGCACTGCCAGCCAAATCAGAGGCACCGAGATGAAACATACTCCACCTAAAAGAAAAAATGTCCACCCGGCGTCAATCTTGTGAAGTAGCAATTCGATCACGGAGACTAACAATGCCCCCATGGAGCACCGTATGAGATTATTCTGCGGTTGTTGTCATAATCTTGTGTATCAGGGAAAGTAGACCCACTCACACACGCAGTCACAGCAGAGCCTTGTGACGGTACAAGGTCGATCAAAAGCGTTTGAATGGTAGTGAGTATAGCGATTTCTGAAAATCCGACTGTGCAACCAAGCAGTGAGCACTAGACTATGAGCAAGAATCGAAAAGAGGACTCACTGACGAATTGAAGCACCAGAGGTACTGCAATGGTCGTTCGTGCTTGAAAGCACCAGCCATACCCAGTGCAAGATGCACAAAATATGATCATCCAAAGTGGCAATCTCTTCAGCCTCGTTGCTTCGATGGGAAAATCATCATCGCTTATGATATGACCTGGGATACCGTTCTCTGGCGTAAAATTACGAATAAGCTGCTCCTTCGCGGTCCTGTAATCCCAGTCCATGAGCTTGCCGCTGAAAACTGCGCCCAGTGCAAGCCCGCCTCCAGAGGCCAGATAGCAAATCCCAATATCCGTCTCTGTCAAGTGAGGGTAGTTTACTTCGAACAACGAAGATATGGTCGCTAGAATGGCGGTGAACACTGCGTATTGAATTCCATTGAAAAGGAGGAGGTTCAAGACATCGACACATGCGAACAGACGGAAAGGGTTAGGAGATTTACGAGCAGGTGGACACTCCACCTCAGAATCCTTATGGCCGCGCCCCATTAAAGGTAGTAGAGGACGATACTGGATAGGTGGCAAAACACTACCATTTCCGACGATGCTACGCAAGGTCTCCGGGAGGAACCTGACACCCAGGTTACGTCAGAGAGAATAACGCCAAAGATCGCGACTTACGTGACCAGGACAATGAAACACGCTGAACTGGAGATACAGAGGAACCAAAAAATGGATCTGAGTAATGGACCGCATGAGTAAAACTTTGTCTTATTTATGCGGACAACCGATTCACCTCCATCCGAGCTTATCCGCAAGAGCGCCTCCTATAACGGGTCCTAGTGCGGGTCCAACCTTCGAAACCCAATTACTACATAGTTAGGTTATGTGTTCTTGCGCTCACCTGCGGACCCATTGTGAAGACGCCGAAGAACCCACCTCGCTCCGCGGGGGTAGCGATGTCTGCAATAATACCAGCACCTGTAGCGAATGAGATGAGGCGAAAAAAAATAAAGCATGCACGCGTACCGATCGTGAGCGTGCTAGCGCTACCAACCGCTTGGAGACATCGAAGAACCATCAACAGCCAGAAGTATGATGTCGGTACGAAAGCCAGACCGATACAAGCAAGGCTGAGAACAAATAAACATCCGAGCGACGTTGGTCGCCTGCCCATGCGATCTGCGAGAGTGCCCCAGAACATGGGCGCTTAAGCGGTAACGATGAGCCCCGGCACAAACTGCATGCAGCAGGCTTCACTGACATACACCCTGAAACACCAAATAAACCGTCACCGTAAGGTTCGTAAGTTCAACGGTCTTGCCAAACGCAGTCGCGATCATTGGAATCGCAGGAAGGTATATATACGCCGTCAACGGGCTGACAAAACTATTCACAAACAGTTTCGATGTCGAGGAACGACCATTTGCTCACCTAAACAACCCTGCTATAGATGCAAGAGTCACTATGAGCCATTTTTCACAAGTCGTAAACACAGAGTAAGGAGGTTCGACATCGGGCTTCTTCGCGAGCACGACAGGAATGCCATGGCCTTCGTCGGTCTGGACCATAGTAGTATGCAGAGAAGTATGGGGGAGAGAAACGGTAAATCACAGCTGTTTAAATATACATGCTCCAGCTTGTGCATCGGTTATTGCTGAGCCGAAATCAGCTTCCCAGATTCTTGGAGGGGGTGTTTGCACCCTCGATATCCGCTATACCACACCCTGGACGCCTCCGATAAGGAAGTGTCATGGCGAATCTTGCCAAGCAATGACTTTCATGCGATACTCGTGTGGTGTACCATGAACGGCCACTTCACTTCTGGCACTTGGTTCACTTGATGCGATCTCGTACCAGAACGGAGTGCTTGGAAGGCTTAGCAAAAGCGTTCGATGCCATCATGGCTGACGCGCGAAGCCGCGCCAAGGAGATGAATGCCACAGAATAACTAAAAACCGTTAACTCGGACATTTGATACAGCTTTCGTCACGGACTCACTACTAGAAATGCAGAATCGATTTATCAACGGACGTGGTTGCTCAAGCCACAAGGTGTAGTTGCCTGAGGCACTGCTGCTTCAGGACGCTCTTCCATTTCTGTTCCCCACCAACATGACATGAATGACTTGTCGTCACCCCAGGTCTATCCCGGGAGCCATCTGAGTGCCAACAGAAGGCATCCATCCTGTAAGATCAGAAGAGTCGTAATTTAATTCCGATGTCGACGCCGATGCGTTGGGCAAGACCGCCGGATGGACCGAAATATCAGGGCAGTGTCGGTAAAAAGGCTGTCAGAGTCTTTGACAAGAAATCAACGCTTCAACCTGGTAAAAACGTATCAACTCACAATCTAGCTTCTCAAACTGCTTCTCACTCTTAGCCAAATAGAAGTAGTCTGGTTAGGCCTGGTTCGCAAGCTGATCAACTTCACAAGAAATTTGAGTTGTTTGTTTACCATTTTTGCGTTTTCTGCTTAGTAGTGGAGTTTGTCATCCCGCCGTCGAATGACTTATAGTCGTCTTGTTTAACCCTCGGAGAGGATTCTCCCTTCGCCACAGGTTCAGCAATACGGATCGATTCACCGCGAAGACTCTCGGCGCCAAGCACAACAATGCAAGACGTTATTGATTGTATTCATTTGCGAGACGAATGACTGTCAGGACTCTAGAACCAAGCAAGCCAGTAAAATACCGTCAGTCAGGCTCACGACACTTATCCAAGAAAAGACTTGCTACGACGGTGCAATATGGCATCGAGGTTTTAACGCACTAGCCTTAGAAACAATTGCGAGGGGCCGAGGTTCAATCAAGCCTCAAAATTTGCGAAAAATATTTCTCATTCTCTCACTGAGGACATAATACGTCAATGCAGATCGCTCCTTCGGTTGGTCTAACTTCGACCGGACGCTACCGTTATCCATCGATCATCGGGTCCCCTCCCGTGACTTTTTAGATATTTTCTCTGTGAAACATGCATCGACTTCTGGGAGCAGAGAAGCTGAGATTCAAGTCCTTGAGGATGGGGACGCCGCTAAGAATAGGCAGCAGGGACATGGCACACTGAGACTTGATGCTTGGACGAGTAAGCGAACAATCGAACAATATTTGAAGTCGAACTTACAGTCATATTGTCGCGAGTGACCATAAAAACATATTCGTCAGACCGATGACCAAGATAGAAGGAAAGTGGGAGATCCAATATGCGTGCTTGAGACATATTTATTCGAGTGAGACTTTATTTTGGAAAATATATGACCCACATAAGAACAAGGATCGTCACCTGGCATATCACACACTGGAACAAAGTATCAATATTTTGGGGTGAGAAGGCAAAAACTGTAGCCAAGCACATTACTTTGTGATAGACTATAGCACGTCGTGCTGAGACCCGAATTCCTCATCTCATGACAATCGCGGTCGGATGGTGATCACCTCAAATCAAAACGCCTGGCATCACGGGTCGTACGGGTATCTTGGGATAATGGTGGACTTAGGCTACAGCCCATCTTGACCTTCAAAAGAACGTTTTCAATTTGCAAAATGATTTAGTCCAGAACTTTGACCACATTGACAATGACAATGGAGCGACATCGTACCGTGGACTCAGAATGGTTTGTGTAACTCTACTACAGTCGCATCTACTTCCTTTTATAAGATTCAGACATCCAGAAAAGGAAGACATATGGGAAGTGCCCTTTGCTCTGGAATTTTGGGAGGTGGAGCGTCCAGGAGCATGAAGTAGTACATGTGTCTGACCTCGTTGACAAAGTTCAATACTGATGTTGTGACAGTTGCGTCACATAAACAACACGGTCACGGCTAAGTCACCCTGGCATGATGTACATACCCTATGGCAATATTCGTCTGGTCAATGAAATTGTTTCTGCTCATCATCGCCTTTACATGCGGGCACGGCATTAGTATGCATTCCTCCCAGATTGGTATGTCTCTTAATCCTATCATTTCTTTTGCAAATGACTCGTCAATAGTGTTGCCGCGGCTCTGGCTTGTGGCCGGCTTTAGCCGCGAGCAGAGCTGTAGTTAGCCAAACCATGTATGTAGTTATAGCTTATGTAATTAGTAGTTTGGTCTAGTCTATGGAGCCGCAGTTTAAGGTCTTAAAGCCAGCTCAAGCCAGCTTTAATAATAATAATAATATATATATAAATAAAATTGTATTGCAATGACACAAGTCTATGCTCTCGATATGTGGTGGTTTCTTTAGTGGTGAGATAGGATGAGAATGGATGTACTACGCATGACGAGAATGTACTACAGAAAATTGGTAGCGGGTGATAATAGAAACAAATTTACCGGTACAGCCATACAGGCTTGTGTTTTGGGATACCTGGTGAAGACGAAGCTGAAATGATGCGAGCCGTGCAGTCCTCCATACCTGGGGATGTTGGAGGAGATGCTGCTGATGACAACAATGTGGGTGGTGTGGTGTAGGAAGAGTTGGGTGGGGGGAATCAGGCTTTGGCGGGTGGGTGCAAAGAATATGTAGGCGTAGGTGCCAAAGTGGCTGGAGGAGGCAGAAAGGGATTTGTGGTAGGAGGAGGAGTTGTCTGGGATGATGAGGGAAGAATGTGAGAAGGGTAAAGTTGTTGACGTACCAGGATACTTCTTGACCATGTCTTCGAACTCCCTGAACGTCACCAGATCCACATTGAGTTCCCACTCCAGATACTGACACATCTCGTGCTCCGTCTGGCTGGTTTCGTGCGGTTGGAACGTGCAGTCCAGGAGTCTGAGAGAGGGAGAGATGGGTGGGTGCAAAGAACGATAGAGGGAGATAGATGGGTGGTGTGATGTAGTGATGTACCAAATACTTCTTGACCATGTCCTCGAACTCCCTGAATGTCACTGGATCCACATTGAGTTCCCACTCCAGATACTGACACATCTCGTGCTCCGTCTGGCTGGTTTCGTGCGGTTGGAATGTGCCCTTCGTCCGGAGTCTGAGAGAGGGAGAGGCGGGTGGGTGCAAAGAATATGTAGGCGTAGGCGCCAAAGTGGCTGGAGGAGGCAGGAAGGGATTTGTGGTAGGAGGAGGAGTTGTCTGGGATGATGAGGGAAGAATGTGAGAAGGGTAAAGTTGTTGACAGTACCAAATACTTCTTGACCATGTCTTCGAACTCCCTGAACAGTCACCGGATCCACAGTGAGTTCCCACTCCAGATACTGACACATCTCATGCTCCGTCTGGCTGGTTTCGTGCGGTTGGAACGTGCCCTTCGTCTGGAGTCTGAGAGAGGGAGAGGCAGGTGCGTGCAAAGAACGATAAAGGGGGATAGATGGGTGGTGTGATGTAGGAAGAGTTGGGTGGAGGGAAAGCAGGCTGTGGCAGCGAGGAATAACGATGGCCATATGTAGGCATAGGTGTCAAAGCAGCTGAAGGAGGTGGGGAGACATTGAGAATGCATGAGAATGTAAGAAGATTAATAACACACCTTGTAGTTGAATCCATAGCTCAGCTGAGCAATTGGATATACAAACTATCTGCGAGACAACTTGTGGTGAGGTGAACATGCTGTGCGTCCGAGTAGTGCGACAGCTCATGAGTGTAGTTGCACAAGAAAATCTCAGGGTTCGGAAGAGAAACCGACATTCTATAACCAAGGGTGTCAAAGGGTAATTCGCGCACATCGAAAGTCTCCTCACCATGAATAACCTCTTCTGGCTTCTCAGTTGCATAGGCAGCACCTGCAACAGGTCGCATCTTCTCTATCAGCAGAAAGTCGACGCTTTCCTCTTCGCCATTCTTAGCCTTCTCTAACCTCTCAAGTGCAGTTGTCCAAGACCAGTGTCATCGCCTCGACTTTGTCGACACAAGTCTCGAACATGGCAGTCAGTACCCGTGCGGCACCTTGAGCGGTATCCTTGGTTGTAATATTCTCGATCAGACCGAACATAAGTCTAAGACGCCCGCCGGCAACTAAATTGAGCGCCTTCTCACAGGGCCGAGAATAACTTACTAAAAATAGAATTCGACTTCACATCTACCACCGACAAAGCTGATAGATCGATATCATAGCAATCTACTACCAGTCTACTACTGAATCTACACTCATCATCCCTCAACACATAACTATTCAAGTACATATGGGTCCCCAAGATAACATACGTGGTCCGAATCGTCTGATGAATGTTCAATCGAAAGCTAAATGTATGTTAGTTGTATGGCAGTGCTGCTCGTGCGCGACACTTACGAGAGCAGCGGATGGCTGAGCGGCAGGACAGAGCGGCAGGACAGAGAAGAGAAAGGGAGAGGAGAGAGGAGAGGAGAGGAGAAATAAGAGGGGATGGAGGAAGGGAGAGAGGAGGGGAGAGAAGGGAGAGAGGAGGGGAGAGAAGAGGGGAGAGAGGTCAGGTGCCGGGGAGATCAAGGTGGCGATCTTGGTTGTTGAGGATGTTGGGGAGGCAGGGATAGAAGCGGCTGTTGTAGGGAGAGCTGTATAGATTAGAAAGTGTCTGTACATGATTGTGTCAATGATGACCTCCATGCCAGCTAAGATGTCGTCTTCTCGTCAATGGATGAACTCTGTCCTGATAAAAGTAAACTCTTACCTAAGTATCCCGTCTACGCAACAGACTTCATCATGTCTTCGTCAGTGTTGTCGTGAGCTTGACTGAGAAAGTCAGCAACTGATGAGTGCGAAGCAGTACCATCTGCCTTCATGCAAACAGATCAGGCGTAATTTCCACCCACAAGTCCGCGTGAACGTACTATCTGCGCCTTCACTTCGTTAAAGGGCTCGTTCAAAAGTTGTTGACTTAATTCTCTACAACGTCCCATCATGGCAAATGCTCCACCAAAGCACCAAACGGCAACTTTTCGAATGCAACCTCATGCTGAATGTTCAATATCATGTCGTCGACAGAGACACTCACGGAAAGGAAAGGCTGTGAACATGGCAGCCTTCTCAGGAGAGAGAGCCTGTTTTCCGACATCGACGATTTCATGCGCACGGGAAAGAAATAAGCTTTCATCAGCGAGATGTCCATATGTCACGGTCATGATTAGGGAGCCAGCATATCTGTCACAAGGATTGATCATCAACGGGACCATACGTCACAACGATGTCACTGGATTAGGTACGAATGCTTCAGCGTGTTGCTGCAGTGAGTGACTAGTGGCACCTAGGTGATCGATGACTAGTCCATTTGCTTGGCGAGAGTATATCTCGTGGTATGAGACCGAGACCTCAGCCCTAAGGGCTTGATGGTAGATCTTGCAATGTTGTCGTAAAGTCTCCCCATACGGAAGCAGTGCAGAACTGAAAGCCAGTCCAGCTCTGTATCCTCAGTGGATGAGGAACAAATTAAATGAAAACCAGCAATACATACATTTCGGTGGTGCGAATAATGGGACGGGTAGAGTAATTCGCGGAACACTTTTCTAGTAACTCCTGGGCGATGGTTTCGGAGTTTATGATGATTGAGAAGTCCAAACTGTTTGGACAGACATCTGCAATGTTTGATGAGTGTTGGCGCACTGCAAAGTGTGAGTAGAGGTGATTAGCCAGTACTTGTGAAGACCGAGAGAGCACTTGGCCTGTCGAGATGAAGCGCAGGCTGTCAAGGAAAGGCGAATAATGAACAAGTTCACTATTGCAAACAGCCAGGCAGCTAGAACACGTAAAGATAGGGCAAACAAGAGATAAGTAGGGGAAGCAAACATCATAGCTCATAGGTAGTAGGAAAATCATCGATGTCGTCACACTCATCCTCTGTGATAGCTCTGAGAAGATTGTCGCATATATCACCTGTAATGCCACTGTTAGTTAATGTCAAAACATTGTTGGATTCCTGTCGTTCGCGCAACGTCTTGTACTCCATATCCTTCTGTGATGCCGCCCAACCTTTGGTAAAGTTGAGTCGCTCTTTTTTCAGGGGGAACTTTACCACCTGCAGAGCCTCCATCAGGACCGGGCTTGTGCGATTACGTTTCTTGGTGTCAGTTTCGCTACTAGATGAAAAGACTCGCTCGCATGGAACAGCGGAGGCCTGTATTGGGAGATGGTCCATTGCAATGCCGAAAATTGTCGGAAATGATTTCTCTGCAACCTGGTCAACACCTCATGGTCAGTGACAAAAGGTATAACATATGGAGATGCAGGACGCTCACCTCCCAGAACGCAAGTATGTCCGTTGTCTTGGGGCTAAGATTAGCCGTAGCATAGGCCTCAACTCTTGCTCGACCGTTTGGGCAATGCTGTCGTGATGCGGCAGGACATTGACGTCAGGTAGTCCATAGAGGCGCGAGCCTAGCGTGCGTGGTTGTTCTCAAAGTACTACTTCATTAGCTGAAGGGCCTACATATGCTGAGCCATTTTCAGCTCGCTTTTGATGCATCTACATGAGATGATATCAGTTTGACCTTTGAAGTTGCATGGTAGACGTACCAGATGGATTATATGCTCGTCTACATCTTTATTCATTTTTTCCCCCCAACGACTCTGAACCCACGACATTCGGATACTAGGATCGACAACTGATGAACTCAAACGTGAGCAACCATACATTATTAGAAGATATCAATGGACTCACACATAGCAACTGCATAGGCATTTGTGGCGCTCATCCTCTCGTCATACTTATCAGCCCAATCTAAACCGATCTGGACAAGAGGGTCACAGTGTGGGACATGTTGGGCCAAAAGCTTCCAGCGCTCGATAAACATTTCGAACGCTGGAAATGCACCGCTCAGCTTGGGAGTGCGTTCGCCTGACATGCATTGTTGGGCAGCATGGGGCGCCTGATATGACAGTCAGACGAAGCGTGAATTTTGAATATACTAAGACTGACCTCTAGGATTACTTCAACGTCCTGTAAGAACTGCCACTCCATTGAACTCAGTTTGAATTTGCTGATAGAGCGTTGAGTAGGAGAGTCAAAGAATAAATCTATTGCCTGGGCGACTATTAGTCATGGCAGATGTTTAGTGGGTGATGTCTTACCTGGCGAAGGGTTCGCAAACGGTTAAGCATGATATAGACTGAATCCCAGCGAGTTGACTCATCAAGCAGGAGTTCGACAACGGGGAGCCGTAGTTTCGCACCCACGTCATCTTGAAACCACTCCTTCTTGTTACCTGTGACAATAGTGTCCCTGAAAAAATCACGTCGCTGGTTAGATGCGCGAATTGTGCGCACAACGTCCCTAGCTCTGAGAATAGCTTTCCCTGACACGGCCTTGAGATACTCCGCTTTTATGATAGTGCGATTGCCAATGACCCAATAGTCGGGCACAAGCGAATAGTCGGCTGTGTGGTATTCTTCGATGATGTGCTTCACACATATGTTAATGATGTGGGGGAAACACGGGATTCTGTGGTCAATGGGAGGGAAATCAATCCCCCGGGACTCAAGTTTGTGGGACAGCTCCCGCATGGCAACCTGGTTGTTGGAGGCGTTGTCCAAGGTGAAATGACCAGTCTGAACAAAGTTAGAGCATGCTACACAGCACAACTAAACACTAACCTTCTTGGTCACACCGGCACGATCCAGAAGATGCAATATTACTTCTGCTAGCAATTCTCCAGTGTGACTTCCTGGGACGTGATGGAAGGCTATCAATGCTGCGTTCAAGACGAGGACTGAACTATGGTCTGCCCTAGCAATCCAGTGGGCGGTAACAGCCATGAATGGGTAAAGGTTAGAATCCAACCAGAGGTCCGATGTGAACGAAACCTTTCCCAGTGCAGCCTGAAGAATATAAGATGCTTTGCAGGGCTCTCGACAACTGTAGACCTACCGCAAGGTCCCTCTTCAAAGCATTGAAGTGCTCATGGAAAGCATCAATGACCAATTCATGTATTTTAGTTCGATGAAAGACATCAGTCTCATTGAGCGATGGCCGCAGAAGACGGATCAGGCGGTGAAATTCTGGGCATTCAATAACGCTGATTGCCTGAAAACAATTACTGACTATAGTATGTAGAAAGTGCGCATCAACTCACCTGATCATCGGCAACGATAAATCTCATGATCTGTTTATGCATTTCGTCCAGGGTAAAGTTAGGCAGTACGTCATCTGGAGCTAACAGGCTGGTACTGGTGAGTGAGCTAGGACTTGGGGGAGTACCGAGTGAGTCCAAGGTGTAAGCCGGATCCTTGAGCCGTTGATGCAAGGTCACGATCGTCCAGCCATCATCCAAAAATGTCTTCAAATGCGATGAAGCATGGACGTGCCAGTGGTTGCGCTCTGCTTCTTCCAAATAAATGATGGTATGCTCGTTGAATGCATGTGTCCGACGACCTGTAGTGCCTGTAGTAGCAAGGTATGATACAACAGCATGAGTATTGTCATGAGCGTGGATTTCTCTTGCAAATTATGTTAGAAAAAACGATAGACTGCAAATACAATACTCACTCGCAGGCTTTACAGATTCTAGACTGAGTGACAGGGTCCTGTCTAGTAGAAGAAATGAACGTCGGCAGAGGATTTAGGTGGTTTGGCTCAGCCACCAGTGGCCAGAGGGTCAGTTCTGGCAGTATTCATCGCAGTCTGGAGTGGACTAGGGCATGCAACAGGCATTACTGTGAGTGCAGGAGGGTTAGCCACTTCGTCTTCCTCATCATCGGAGATGTTCTCGAGGTGAAAGGATTCCCCTTCGTCTGCAGCGGGACTTGAACCATTATCTCTGAATCTAACAGGAAGCTGACGACGTCTTGGGGGATTTTGAAGCACGGACACATTCGCTGCAGCAGCAATGGGAGCAACAGCAGGAGTTGCAGTAGGAGGAGTGGCAGCCATGGGAGCGGCAGTAATGGGAGCAGGAGCGGCTTTGGGAGCAACCTGGGAAGTGTTCTTCCGTCGAGGAGGCATGGTTGTGCTGAAGGATCTAATGTCAGAATTACCTGTCTATATAGGTTTTCACCATGGGAAACCCCAGAGCACGCCAACGTGCAGTGATTGCGAGTCCCTGATGGAAAATCCATAGGTGTCGCTAGCGAAGTAGCCTTGATGTTTTAATGCTATATGCGAGTCAGATGAGTAAGAGCCTTGAGGAGCAAAAAAAACTAATGCAATTTTGAGATAGGGACTTACTAGAGGCGATTGACTCCAGCAGAGGGCCCAGAGGCTCTCTAGATTGCAACAGAATGGATGGAATAAGGTCCTTGTGCAGACAGTGGGTGACCGTGGTCCATGGGTGACCGTGTGACTGAATGATCAAGGAAATCAGAAATCAGATCCTCATTTTCAGGCTTAATGACTCTTCAGAAAGTCACCATGAGTCTCTCATTGCTGAGTTGCGCTGCTGCCTGCAGCATGTTGAAAGATAAGAGGTTGCACCGTGCGTGGGAGTTGGAGAAATGAGATACCGTCTTGATATTAGTCATAGGCTCAAAGGCTGTGCTCCTGCCTGCTGCTATGAAACCTATCATGATAGAATCATTAGCTCACATAGTATGCATATACAGTCGTATGTACAAGTAACAAATAACACTATATAACGGTGTCATGGTATATAAACTAGGCCTTTTTCCGGCGTGGAGTTGAGGCAGTTGCACGCAATGTGGAGGAGTGATTATGTGGGCGTAACCTTGCAATGATGTCAGTTCAAAAGTGAGGCCATAAAATGGACTACTGACACACGAGACGATCTACGAAGGGGCGGGCATGGACTTGAAGGCACTGCCTTGATTTCCCAGGGTTCATCATAGCATGGAAGGGGATGTGTGGTAGGCACATCAGGCTTGCCGAAATCCAGCTCTGTGCTTGCTGGAGCAGGTGATGTAGAATGAAGTACACGAAGTAAGGAACAAATGTGGTTGTAGTCAGGGTCCTCTGAGAATGCGAGAGCATGTGTGTAAATGAGAATTGTTGCGAATTGGACAGGAATTCCTTGACACAAAACTTCGATGGTAGTGTTGACTTTGCGCTCCAGTATGGAAGAGCTGGAAAGCTTCTCTTGGTCACTGGTCAACCATGGAAGAGAGCCCTGCAAACAGTATATTAACATGTAGGTGAGTGATTCAAGGTCATCACGACGACCCAGTTCAAGTCCCAAATGATCGTTGATTGACGCGAATGCAGGAGTGCCGGTAAGACGTTGACCTTGGCAAAATGGTATATGGACTCCGGTCGATGTGTTCCAGAATTCCTTTGCGGTGCCGAAATCGATGAGAAAGGCAGGTGTGCTTCAAATCGCCAAGGCCCACCACAACATTCTGTGGTTTGATATCACCGTGGATGTAATTATGCGAATGAATGTATTCAAGACGTGAAAGCTGGGAGATGGGGTTAGCGGTCTGCGCGTGCAATGGCAATACACACACTGACTGACCAGCTGGTCTCCTAGATTTACAACAGTGTCAAGGCTAAATTTTCGGTTGTGGGCAAGGAAGATATGATGCAGTGATGGCCCAAGGAGGTCAAGAACTAGAGCGTGATAGGCCGACTCCCTACCAAACCAAAGGGCACGGGGAATCCCAATACCACCTTCAAGGTTTTTCAAAATGCGGTATTCACGCTGCACGGAAGATGAGTGGTTGATAGGTTCAAGCTTGATGGCAACTGCGTTATCCTTGATGATATTCCGTGCGCGATACACAACAGCTAAATGCGATCCAAATGTTGAATCAACATGTAGTCAGTGATATGGGAATGACATACCGTACGAGCCAGACCCCAACACGTCTCCCAGCCTAAACCTTCCATCAACTCGAGTAGGGACCTTATCCATGATGTATACAATAGCCTAAGTAGAAATAACGTGAAATCAACTAACTGAGAGGAAAGCGAATAATATTCTGCCACCCAACTGCCACTTTTGCATTTCAGCCTGGACTGGCTTGAGCCAGCTTAAAGCGGTTCAAGCCAAGATTCACACATTTTTGGTTGAAACCAGTTTGCATGGCTTACAAATCGGACCGAGTCACTAATCAGTGGCTTGGCTCACAATAATTGCCAAACTTCTGGCAAACCGGCAAATGCCGAACCGGAGCCGACCATAGCCGAGCCGTGGTAATACTACTCGTCAATCACTCCGCACCTGTACATTACATACATCTCCCAACCCTTTCCCTCATCGAAGCCCACACTATCAAGTGAGGCCCTCCAGATATTTACCGCAACTGTCTGCTCCTGTAACCCCTGCCATTTTTTCAGTGTCTAGGTATACCAGCGCCAACAACCATGTCCTCGGCTACAATGCCATCGATATGTTCCCATCACCTCCAAGGCTTCCCTACATGATGGACCTGCTGGCCTGTTCATGCAGTGCCATATATAGTAGATGTCTCTCTCCCGCAGCCCTGGGCTCAGTCCGGTATTTTTCGGCAGGTGTTGCACAACTTCTTGGATACTTCATTTGTCAATCATCCAGGATCCTCGCTTTTCAAGTTGATATTATTTTTTTATTCTTCGGTCCGGGCAAGATCATCTTCCTCTCATGGTGCTGTCAGCTCAACCAGATGGGTCCTATAGAATCACTCTGCTTTTATTTGCGCGCCGTCTTCAGTGGTTCCAACATTGCATTATCTTGCGAAACACACTCAATTCTAATCTTATTGCCTAAGGATGTCGCATCTCACTGCATTCCATCAGTCGCGTTGTTGCCTGTTTCCTATGGACGCCGCATCGAGCTGCGACTTTCTACATTTGAAATTTCTGGATCCAAATGGATGTCGCGGTGCAAAAATAGAGATGTCGCGTCGATGTTGCAACTGACGCAACGGTAGCGTTGGGGCCCCGTCACATAACTTTGTATATATAAATCGTCTGACGTATCTGTCTTAAAGCACGTTGCACTGACATGTCATGTCTTGCTTCAGAGTGTGGAGTCCTTTGGGGTAGTATGTTGGACATTGTCTCGTCATCAGCCGCTGTCTATCGTATTACACGTCACGTCTTGATGTGAGCAAAGCACGTTGCACTGACACGTCATGTTCAACGAAGGCTTCAGACAGTGAGCTCTAATACTATTCAGCTTGTCACAGCGATATATAAAAGCGGCATTCCTTGAATCGATGCTAACTCAGCACCCCTCACTTCAACAATCACTTCACATTTAACAGTCATGAAAGGATTATTGACTCTTTGTCTTGTTACCGTCGCTCTCCTGCCGCAGATGGAAGCGGCCATTAATTGCTGATGGGCTTCTCGGACCCTGGTGTTGGAACTATCTTCTTGACAAGAAACCGACCGAGCCAGTCCAGCCGGAGACAAGTATGTCCTAACTTGTCTGTATTTTGTGCATCCTGTCTCATAAGGAATGTGTCGCTAGGCCCCTGAATGTAATTATCTAGTACCCTTTTTTCGAGTGCTCTACTTACTCGCTCTGTTAAATATGCAGCTCTCCACGATATCGAAGGTATGTCTTGAGTACAGTATTGATCTTCGACTATTTACAAAATCATTCTAGTCTAGGGTTAGAAGCGCCAACATGTCTCTGAGTCCAGCCTGCCATCTGAGTCGTCTCTCTGAAGTCTGGGACTTGCGGGATAAAGATTGTCGTGGTCCAATTTTTTCTAATGCTCAATTATTGTTGGGGCAGAGCCCTAACATTATATGCATGGTCCAATAGCTATCAAAGTTCTTTTTATTCGTGTATGATGTAGTACGTACTGCTCTGTTGAAGTTGTTACGCACTTAACGGTTTGGACAATCGATTTAACATTGTTTTTGCAAAGCGCGTTAAGACAAACATTATGTAAGCTCAAACATCTTTAATTTTTTGAAGTACAGCGTCCTTACTGGTTTGGACTTGAATTGGACTTTTTCACACTTTCGGGGACTCTGACCTCGAACATCAAGTAAGATGCAGTTTTCCTGATGGATCTATAGACCAGAGTAGCAGCGACTACATTGTCCCTCGAGTGCACCGGCTTCCCATGTCGCACAGTCGGCACCACCCAAATATAAGCTTGCTGTCAATGACAACGATCCTAATTAGCGATCTCGCCAAGATTATCTTTTGACAATTTGACAATTTTACCTCTTGGTACGAACTGTACTTTGTCAATTAAACGTCATCACAGACAACGAGAACAGATGCAGCACATCGTTTCGATAGATGTTACTTACTACTGGCCCGATCACGTTCTATTCCGAGTCCAGGGGAGCGCAACTGGCAGAATGCAAGGGAAGGCAGTCTGAGGCGATCGATGATCACTATCAACGTGTTGTCAAGGGTCTGACGTTTAAGATCTGGTCATGTTCAAGTTCGCTGAGGTTGGTATTTGAAGGAGATTTCAATTGGTGTCCAGTCGCTGGTTGCCGTTTAGCACGTGACAAATCGGCGGCCAACTCCAATAGTACGCAGCACTAGAAGTTCAACTTTATGCTCTCGCCATCATCGTGTTCGATAGCCTATCACTTTCTTAAGTCCTATAGCTTCTAATTCTTCTCCAACATGGCAGACAAGATATCTCTGAAGCCAGCGCTTGCAGTTCTAGAGAATGGGCAATCTGACGAGCTCCAGACTCCATCGTCAGCCACTGCGGTAACAGATCAAGATAACCTAGAGGAAGGAGAGATTTCCGAGGAAGACACATCAAGTAGTGCTTCAACTTCTCCCCGAATCGCGGGCCAGCTGTTGAATATATCAAGTGGCACAAGTCATTCCTCTGACTCTGCTCAGAGCTCCCGTTTACCTTCTCCCTCAATCACTGCCTGCGGCTTGACCGCCACATCAACAACACCACAACGTCCGGATATGGGACCTAGTATGTAAACACTTCTATTCCTCTGTACAGTGTAAATGTCGACTGAAACTTTCCTCATAGTGACTCGCCAAGACCTGGATCACACCAAGAACCTCGTACTTGATCTCCTAGGCTGGGGCGTTTCTCCTGAATATCTGGTCGAGGCTGGTGTATCGGCGGGTGTAATATACAGGGTGTTTACCGATCTCAATCTCCGTCTTCCTACAAATCTTGTTCTTCCTCCCACTCAGCCCTTGCCACCGCCTTCTGGTATACGATAAGCGTCTGTTTCCTCACTGTTGGACATTCCGCATTTTGTAATCGCTCTGTCGCCTCTGTTTTCGATACTTTTTTTTTCAGCATATCGAACCATTCGTTTTTCGAGTTTTGCGCAGGAATTGTGGAGTTGATTTCACTGTGAGCTATCGTCATAATCCCTGAGGTGTACAAATTGTGTTTGAAGATCTCCATCACTCAATTTGCACCCACAGGTGGTTTTGACCTGGTCGCATCAGTAGGGTTAATTGTTCAATGCTGCCTGCACTTATATGCATCCCACCACTCGTCTCACCACAATATCGCAAAAACTTACAAAGTACGAACCAATCTCGCCTAGCTCGCTTTACCCTTTCCATCAGGGTGCCATCGTCGACTTGTGACGTAGCTTTAAATTCCTGAAAGTCTCCATACGCATCACCCATTCTAATTATTAGGGACATAGCAAACATATAGCATCCGAAACTACATACAAGAGACATCAAAATACATACATGTGTATGGCGCAAAGGAACGGTTGCCATCGATAACAAATCCCATAATTACATGCCGATTGTTTTGTACATCATATTCTTCCGCGACTTTTCCGCGTCACATGCCCATCTAGGACTGGCTGATGAGTTTCTCGAGATCAATGAGTCCACCACTACTAGTCAAGGCAGCCTGAATGACCGCAACATCCTTCAGTGCACCAAGGGGGCTGCCAAGGCCATCATCTTTTCCATCTATAGCGGCAAAGAAGCTCGCCTGCTCCAATTCTACACCTCTCATAGGCTCATCGATAACCTCCTCCTTTTCGGGGCCAAGTACCCCATTTGCATCGCGGGTGGCCGACTTGATAGTGACGCGAAGAATGGGCTTTTCGACGTTGTGGATGAGGTCACGAACCTGGGTCTGCTGAACCTGAAGCCAGCCATCTGCACCGGTGAAGACAAGACCTCCACCTGCACTGGTACGAGATGGGCTGGGTGCAGCGAAACTGAGCTCGTAAATGCCATGTGAACCGTCCGCGTTCTTTATGATCGTGTTGATGGTATCATGGGGCGCAAGCCACTCCTTGTTGAGCGATGCAAACCCGGAGAGGTATGTCATTGCACTTGGGAGTATGACACGTAGAGCTGCGGCAGAGTGCTAGAAGCAAGTCAGTTGCGGGTTCCTGCCAGTATTTTCAACTGACCACACCGCCATCAAGCTATGATCAGCCAAGTGTCAGCTGGTTGAGGCGAGCACAACATGAATCTTACCAGGAAGCCTCCTTGATACTAATCCGATAGAGGCAAAGGCACGGGCCAGAACGTGTCAGATCATGGATCAGAACGAGGAGATTGACATTTGCTCACGTCCGGAACAGTTCGCCACGGGGTGTTATACCATTTCGAATCCTTGTCCATGAAGTTGACGGTACGAGAGCTGAAGAAGGTGACTTTCCCTATCTTGCCGGCAGCGAATAGCACGGCCAGCGGCGATGTAGCCTGGCTCTGCCTCGAAATTTTCGGCTACTCTCCATACAAGCCCCTTGGGCTTATACTGTGCTTCATACTGAGCGATCAATTTGGCACCAGACGCCACGTCCGGTGCAACAGGCTTTTCACTTAGCACGTGCTTGCCGGCAGCGAGAGCTTTCAAGATGATGGATGGCTGTTGAGTGATTGGGAGAACGACGATAACGGATGAAATGTCAGGTCTTGCGAGAAGTGTATCAAGATTGAAAGATGGGTTTCCGTCATAGTAGACATCAGGGGTAGCGTTGAGGAGGGTTGTTGCTTGGGCTGCAAATTCACGTGCAGTCTTCTCTGATCGCGAGTAAACGGCTCTAAGCTTTGGTGCGAGAGGGCCAAGCGTTTGTAGTGCAGGAAGGTGTGCTGTTGAAATGTTATCAAGTTATAAGCGTTGTGGATGTTCGGTCGATATGATCCAATTGATGTTGCACACCTTCCTTTGCGAAAATACCCGCGCCAAGTATGGCGGTTCCGGCGGTGTTTGAAGCTGACATGAATAATCGACAAGATGAATGTTAACAGCAACGGGGACGAAGACACGTACTCTGCCTTGGCTATTCAAATATTATATGATTCGCTTTATTCCCGTCCACTATCACGGAGAAATATCGGACAGCACATGATCACACATGATGCCATCAGATGCATATATGTGGCTCACATGTTCAACACCGTCTGGAACATACTCCCATGTCTACTCCAAAGCATGCGTTCTTTGTATTAAAATTATATCTAATTCTTATCAGGTGCACATATGCAACCCGTCCTGCATCCATCTATTTCACCTGTGATCACTTGAACAAGGCAGCGAACCAGATTGTGCTGTTTACTTTTCAAATTCCCAATACACTCACCCGGATAATTGTCGGTTGCTTTGCTCAGAATCCTCACAGGAAGCTCTATGTTACCAATGTGCTCTAGTAGTTTAAGAGGCTTCACATTTTCGTGATAGTGTGCCTCACCACCCGCTACAAGTTGGCTCCTGATTCAATGATGTCTGCAGAAGTTGCAAATAAGTTGCCAAAGGACTTCATATGGGGATTTGCTACTGGTAAGTTTCTTTTGTTCCGTTGATCATCATGCATTAACATGTTTTACAGCGAGTTTCCAGATCGAAGGATCCACCAATGTTGATGGACGCGGAAAGTCTATCTGGGACGACTTCTCGAAACAACCTAAAAAGACACTGGACGGCCGAGACGGAGATGTGGCAACCGATTCATACAGGCTCTGGAAGGAGGACATTGCTCTACTTGCCCACTATGGCGTCAAGTCCTATCGCTTTTCCTTGTCCTGGTCTCGCATCATCCCGCTTGGTGGCCGCAACGACCCCGTTAACCCCAAAGGTATAGCCTTCTACTCCAATCTTATTGATGCACTGCTGGAACATGGCATAATCCCATTTGTTGTATGTGAAGCATGCGCGGCTACTTCGGCGAGTTCTCACTATGCTTTCTCAGACTTTATACCACTGGGATCTCCCCCAGGCCCTGCATGACAGATATGGCGGATGGTTGAACAAGGATGAGATTGTCCAGGACTACGTCCACTATGCTAAGGCGAGTTGTTGTGTAATTTTTACGCGTATGGGTGAAATGAGCAAAAATACGGTCGTCAGGTCTGCTTCCAGGCTTTCGGAGACAGAGTCAAGCACTGGTGCGTACTCCACAGTGATGGGGTATTCCGTCATTTCATCAACCATACGTCTCTAGGCTGACAGTGAACGAGCCATGGTGCGTCTCAATTCTGGGGTATGGAAGGGGCGTCTTCGCGCCAGGACGATCAAGCGACCGAGAACGATCACCCGAAGGCGACTCCTCCACCGAACCGTGGATGTACGTCTACCACTTGCATCTGTATGTACGCAATTAGTTTGCTAATTCCACACCACCCCACAGAGTTGGCCATAGTGTCATTTTATCGCACGCACACGCAGTTAGACTTTATCGCGAGGAGTTTAAGGCCGTGCAGGGTGGCCAGATCGGAATCACGCTCAATGGTGACTGGGCCATGCCATACGATGACAGTCCACAGAGTAAGTGCAATCTCCGGTTTGCTGATATGATGAACGGATATTGATGACGCGCGTCCGTGTTTTCAGATGTGGAAGCGGCACAGCACGCCCTTGACGTAGTTATTGGTGAGTTCGGTCCGTGCCTGTAGCATCCGGTCCGTGCTGACGGACGGTTGATAGGATGGTTTGCTGTAAGCTTCAGGTCGTATGCTCTTTCGAGTCGTTAAATAACATAATACTATTTGCCAGGATCCAATCTATCTCGGTCATTACCCGGAATATATGAAACAGATGCTCCAGGAGCGTCTGCCGGAGTTTACACCGGAAGAATTGAAGGTCGTCAAAGGATCCTCTGATTTCTATGGCATGAACACCTACACCACCCACTTGTGCAGTACGTTCGTTTTATCCGCTTTGACCCTCATGCGCCTGAACTGTCGTTACAGGAGCCAGGTGGCGATGATGAATTCCAAGGATTCGTCGAGTATACCTTCATCCGTCCTGACGGCACTCAATTAGGTACCCAAGGTAAGTGTCTCCTGCCTTCTAGATTTAGAATCAGAAATTCATGAATCACGGCGATGTTGCAGCGCACTGTGCCTGGTTGCAGGACTGTAAGTTACGAGATAATATGAATATGAGACATAGTGAATATTTTACTGACATCCCTATTATACTCCAGACCCCGAAGGATTTCGCGATGTGAGTAAAATAGTTAATACGAAAGAAACATGGCTGACACCTTCGGTTCCCGGTTCCTTCGTGTCAAAATAGTTGCTTAATTACATTTGGAAGGTTTGCCCACCAGTTCATAGCGTGCACGCATTACGGTTACTGACGAGCATTTAACAGAGATACAAACTACCCATCTAGTGAGATATTCCGAGGCAGCAGTTGGGGCGATGCGCTGACCTTGACTTCAGCGTCACCGAAAATGGATTCGCTGTCAAAGATGAGAGTTCGAAGCCGATAGAGGAGGCATTGCAGGACAACGACCGTGTGAACTACTTCAAGGGTAACACCGCTTCTATCAAGGCTGCTGTGCTTGAGGATGGCGTCGATGTCAGAGCCTATTTCCCGTGGAGTATGTATTCTTATCATTCGCGATCAAATTTTCTAATCTTATTCCTTCCTTCCTAGGCTTTCTGGATAATTTTGAGTGGTGAGGCAGAAAGATTGATGATATCCCCCTTCGCTTATGTCACTCCCAGGGCGGATGGATACATCACACGATTTGGCGTAACATACGTCGACTATGAGACCCAACAGCGATATCCCAAAGAGTCTGCGAAATTCCTCGTTAAGGTTAGTTTGCCATCAAGAATAAAGGTCAAGAATGCTTACGCACCTCTGCAGTGGTTCGGAGATAACGTCGACGCGGGCGACAGATAGAAGAAATCTGTTTCTTTCGCCCGAGCATTGTTGGAGCACTGGTGTGTGACGATTGTACCTATAAGTTAGTGAGGTATCTCAGAGGAATCTAACTCGCTGCTCTTGCTTTATGTATCTATTTGCCAATTGTTTAGTATTTTACATAGCGTGACTGTGCCCAGACATGGTAGTTCCTCGTGTATTAAGCGAGAGAGGTGTTTGGGGTCCGCCGCGGCATGTTGTAGGTCCTTGTGAGCAGGCGATACGTTGCAATGTTGTACGCTTCCAAAATCGTGTGATCAGGCTCAGAAACCTAGAAACTCCACCTACGAGCCAACAACTAGAATATTATTACTTGACTTTCATTCGATCTTTCCTCGGTTGGTACATCTTGGATTTATCTATCCCACACACACCATGACAAACTATGCTGTTACCGCCCATCCATATGCCGGTCCAGCAGTGGATCCTTCTGGTCACCATGAGCCAGAATCGACTTCCCATACACCAGAGGCCGACGATCCTTCAAAGAAAAGAAAGACCACGAAACGAAGAAAGGTCAACCACGCGTGCCTCTATTGTCGACGTAGTCATATGACTTGCGACGAAGGCAGACCCTGCCAACGCTGGTGAGCACCCTCGAACATACTTGATACATACACGGTCGCATGTGCTGATGTCTGTAGTATCAAGCGCGAGATTGGTCATCTTTGCCATGACGAGCAGCGACCACCGAAGACTGGTGGGAAGCAGGGTTCTGATGCTGTTCCAACTACATCGTCAAACGGTGTTGATCCTGCAAGGTCGATGGCTCGTGCGTATATCATGATTCTATACTCCCCATACTGAGAGCGATCTACGCAGAACCTATGTATGGTTCAACAATGCCTCCTCCTCCAGCTACTACCGCGTGGCCAATGAGTGTTCCCTCTGGCGCATTTCTGTATCAGCCCGAAACCTTAGGGAACGAATTTTCAGTCCTCACGTATGTCTTTTTATGGTCACTCCACCATGCGCCCCACTTAGTTGCTCCAGTGACTTCTTAGAAACCCTAGACGAGGGATCTTTCTTCACTACATCCCCAACAGTGACCCCCTCCCTCATGCCTGCTCCCGCATTCTCTCAGAACACTCCTTACATCTCAAATTCTACCTCCGCTGCTGAAGCGACATCCAATTCTCCAGCACATCCCCCTGAGGCACTCGCTGAAGAGCCCACGCCCCCTCTTCTACCGTCTGCCACCAAGACAGAAAAGTTTTTGATGACTGCTGCAGATCAAGAGTCAGGCACTCGCGACGAACGACTGAACCGTGTTATTCGGAGCAAATACGAGGCAGGTCTACTCAAACCGTATGATTATGTCAAGGGCTATGCACGGTTGTCAAGGTGGATGGATCGCAAGTGCGTCAACGTCTTCGTGTTGAGACAATGATTTGACACCTGTTCATCTTAAGTGTCTCTCGACAATCGAAGCAGCAAATTTTGCAACCGTTGTCTGTGCTACGGCCCAAGTTCCGAGTGAGCGAGGAGGCTTTATGATATTTGCGAAAGTTGCTAATCATACTTAGGCTGTTGCGCAATCCCTACGTGATATCGTGAGTTTGAGGTCCCTGTTGATGTATTTTGCAATTGACCACGTCACAAGGACCTTGTATTCATAGAAGAGGCCTTCGAGCGATTACTTCTCGATTACGACCGTGTCTTCTCAGCTATGGGTGTCCCAGCGTGTCTCTGGCGCCGAACAGGTGAGATCTATAAAGGAAACCGTGAGTTTTCAGAACTCGTAGGCGTCGATGGATACATGATGCGAGACGTAAGCTGCCTCAACGTGACTATCAATGCTTGCAGGAGCTAATTCTTTCTGTTGTAGGGCCGCCTTTGTATCTACGAGCTTATGGCAGAAGAGTCGGCAGTCAATTACTGGGAGGTGAGCCTAGTCCGTCGTAACTCACTTCAACTTTTGATCACACATGTTAGAAATACGGCCATGTTGCTTTTGACTCTTCTCAAAAGGCCGTGCTCACTTCTTGCGTGCTACGTTATAAACCCCTCATCAATACGCAGTCACAATCGCCGAAAAAGGAGGATGTTCCCAATGAGGAGGGCTTCGTAAACTGTTGCTTCTCATTCACAATCAGGCGGGATAAGTGGGGCATACCGAGTATGATCGTTGGAAATTTCATCAAGTGCTGACAAGAATACTGGAGGTCGGAGGTTGTTGTGTAGAGAAGTAATGAGTTTATCTTGTAAGTTATGATAAAACACGAGTTTCAGTTAGAAAGGGTTCCTGGCGCGCTGACCAAAAGTCATAAGTTTCTTCCGCTCTCCAAGCAGAACTTGTCTCCTGCAGATGTGCTTTCAAATGCGCAGCAGTATATAACAAGAGGGAGTTCGGAGGGGAATTAAATTTGAGATGAATTGTCGTTGACGATGCTACATGTAAGCAACGTGTAAGTTAATGATACCTATGGTAAATTTTGTCCGCCCGTCTCGCTCTTTGGTTCCTCGTCACGGTGTCTGTTGCTCGTCTCTTCGTCCAGGTTCTGACGAAGTTGACAGCTGATATGTAGTGCATGCTCAGGAGCCAAGTGCTCTGATGGGTCTGCAGTGGTGGACATATCTCATTCCAGGGATCTATAAAGGTGAAGATTCTTCCATGACTGGGGTCAGAACTTGAATGTCGTGACCAGGGTGCATGGAGTTCATATAGTGATCTAGGACGCAAGCCGCTGGGAGGGTGGACCTGCTTACGAGTTCGTCATTCGACCGTGCCTTGACTTCATCATGACGCGCGATACGCAATGTACAAGCTCGCTGTTGTCAACGACGAGCGCAACATTTTATAATTGTTGTCAAAACTCACTTCAACTTTCAAAAGCGCTTTCAAATTTCAAATCGCACTGCTAAGGGACAACATGGCACTCTGATACATCCGACACTAAGTTGCATCACACCATGAGCGCATTTTTCGTGGTGTTACAAGGACTAATGTACTTCTTGCACAGGTATGCATATGAGTACGAGGTCGCGCACGGTGCTGATACTTTACAGATGGACTTGATCAAATCCAATTACTTCACGCCCCCCATCATCATCCTACAAACCGTTATGAAAGAAGTCCGTCATCGGTCATTACCCTTGTATAGTCGCCTCAAGGCCCTCACGACAACTGACGAGCGGAAAGTATGGGTATTTTACAATGAGTTCAGGTCGTGAGTCATCTTCATGAATTATCGAGTTTTGCCTTGTTGTGGTTAACAATATGTTGCTTCGCCTCCTGTTCTGTACCGAGCCCAGTCTTTGATCTTGAAGTCGTATTCCATACTATCCTTCAAATCTTGGCGTTCTCATGAAGTGTCCCAAATTTCCCTCATTACTGATATATGCGTCATAGAGAGACTACTATCGTGTGCGAGAAGACGACGAGACGCCGAACGACTGGAATGATCGAGGTCGGTGATGCTCAGATTTGTATATTTGGGTGTACTAATAAAAAGTACATAGGTGTCAGGAAAGCCGCAGAGTGGTACAACACGCATCTAACACTAGCACACCCTATCGGGAGGGGGCTTCGTGGTCGCACCCCTGCAAACGTCCCCGCCGCTTCCGGCGTGTTGGGGGGGTGGCTTTGCCCCTCTCAAACTGGGGGGGGTCGCTTTCAGGGTGGTCGTTTCGTCCGTCTCAGTGAGGGTCGTGCCTTTGTCATCGCTTATTAATCACTTTTTGTCCCAGTCCAAAGCCATGCTCCTTGTCAATGTCATTCCATCCATGGTCTCACGACATCATCGCATCAAGATCCCGGCGACATATGAGCAAAATACTCGAAAATCATGGACGCGTTTTCATCAGACCGCGGGAAATTTTGGCCTCATATCTTTGTCGTGCTCCTCGTCTTGCTCTGTCCATCCATGGTCTTGTGTCATCTTCTCGTCGCATTCCCAGCCGCATACAGTCATAATGCTCAGAAATATGGTGCAAAATTCAAAAAATATAAATTGGCAATGGCAGGAATCGAACTCAAGATCTCAATATGATGACCCATCTTTACCACTCGACCATAATGGATTTTACTTTCCTAGCTCGCAACGGCATGTATCGTGATGCGATCTCTAATAAATCTCTTATGGCTTGCAAATGGTAGGAATGAGTCGCATGCTTACAAGGGTAAAGGCCCCTCAAAGTGGGAAAACATGTCATGCTTGTGGCGCAAAACACCGAGTTCAGAAGCTTATAGTCGTACCACCAGTATTGCCTACTCGGCGTGGTTTGTCATAATGCAGTGTAGAGACCGACATATCTGTAGCCTCATAGCAGCCATATCCACAACTTGTGCTGAACGCCTCTCCAAGCGTACACTACTTTCCTACACCAAGCGCTGCATTCTTGTATACCACCAGTATACCATGTCCCCACACTTCATAAAGCAAAGTACTACATTTGCAGCCCCCATCGCTCTCACACATGAGCATATTCTGTTGGCAGGAACCTCTGCGTCTAGGAGTACGTTCAGATACTGGTCTGTCTTTTGTATCCATTGCTGATAGTCATGTCATGGTTTAGCTATGGCTGGACAGGCTCGGCTCTCACTGGTTTTCCAGCAGTTTGGTGGTCTCCATGAACCAAGTCACCTACGTGCAACTCGGTCCAGTCCGCAAGCCACCTGGACCAGCACAAACCAGCACAAGCCAACAATATGGGAACAACGAATTGAGCTAGCTTCAAGCCACCTCAAACTGTTACGACTTGGATAGGTTGAGCCTTCCGCGGTTGAATAGCTGATCTCGAATGTGGTCTTGCATAGGTGGAAGGATGAGTTCTAAGCTCAGGGGAATCCTAAGGTATCCTCCAACAAGCTTGGTAAGTGCAGCAGCTTATAAAGCTGTAGAGCTCATGGATGTATTGCTAAGGTAGCGTCGGCTGGCGGTCAAGACAGAGGGACTAGAGGTTACTCTAAAAGGAGTTCTGATGGATGACAAAGTACTGGAATTGTACTAGTTCTAGAAAATTACCAAGTATATCAAAGTGAGAAATACGATGATATGTGTCTGAGCTATATAGGCATATTCTATAAGGTTAGGTAGGAGCCTGTGTCCACGAATCTATCTGTGTCAAGATAAGTACATAAGGCTGTTTTATCCTATGAGTCAATGATGCATGAGGTGGCATGCGTCCTGTCAGTTTAAAGGGGAAGAAGCGCCATAAGGTAGCATGAGGCGCTTCTGGGTCTATGATCCCAAGATGGGGATCAGGAGGCTGTTCTAGGCTTAAGGTAGTACAGCTGGTCTAGACTGCTCTAGATCTATGCTGGTCCAATGTTCTATCGTCCCTGTACATCAGCCCTTTTGAATATCTCTGAAAAATATTCAAGAAATTGCTTGCAGTCTATCAAAATTTATTATAGGGGCTATTTCAGCTGTAGGACAGAGTTGCAGCAGAGTGAGAAAGGAGTGCTAAGAATAAATACTCCAAATTGATAGATAGCATGTCTAGAAGAGTGGCAGAAGTGATTAGAGCAACAGGAGGTCACATGAAGTATCATAATTATAGAGATTGTGTCGATCAAACTGAAAGTCAAAAAAGTATCTCAATGAGTCACCAAATTAAAATAGCCATATATGCACATGATGACATCAGCTTCCCATGCTATAGGGAACTTCAATGAGGCTAACAAGTACAGCTTTATGACACCCCTCTACAGTTCAGTCATATTCCCACACCCTGGCTCATAATAAAGCAATTACTTGAAAAGTTACAAACATTGAACACTTTTTGAGCCACTGTAGTTATTTATTGTTCATGTGCTGATTGAGATCTACTTATAATATACCACTTGGCCATTGTATATTCTACATGGAACATCATCAATAATGCTCAAACTTGAAACTATTGTCGACCACCCATCTTCTGTAGAGTGTAAATACTGCATTTTGAAGCAACTTGAAGGCAGAATTAGCATTTCCCACACCCTCTGGTTTGGAAGAGAGTCAGTGTATCATCCTATGGTCCTTGAATTTCTCAGGCCATCACTCCATCAACTCTTCCTTGCAAATGATCAAAAATTCAGCTTTCTCCATGTCATGAATATAGGAGAGTCGAGTTTGCAACTATTCTAATTTACAGGTGCTCTCTCACATTCACAGAAGATTCCAACTATGATCACCTTCATTTAATGCTTCAAGATCTTCATGCCTCATTACCTGCACCAGCCACATTCATGTTAGACTTTGGCTAGCTCAGTGATCCTGTCATATATTCCCCTGACCAGTGCTGTATGGCCAAAGTAATGCTACCATGACTGCCAAAGGAAATGTGCAGATTGAATCCCATATGAGTAGTGTGTTTTTTTACATCTAAGTCTTTGAACTGAAGCTTAGCTTATTTGCAAGGCTACGCCCGTGTTAATGGCTCCCCAAGGCATGCTACAACAATGTCATATCCCATATTTCCGGACCTACGTCCGATAATATTCCCACGCCTCATCCGGACCTTCAGATTTCCTATGTCTGCAGTCCTCTGCTCATCCGGATCCCTACACCTCTGTACATCCACATCTGCATATCCACATCTAGATCCCTTTACCTTTGCAGCTAGCCTGCAGTCTTCTACTCATCTGGATCCCTACACCTCTGTACATCCACATCTGCATATCCACATCTAGATCCCTTTACCTTTGCAGCTAGCCTGCATCATTCACCCTTGTCCCATCCCCCTAATGTTATATTTTGCATATCCACACATCTCATCCAGACCACATCCAATCCGGTCCAATCCAATCCTATCAGATGTATAGATACATTTCTGAGCTGATATACGATAAGCTTCTTGATACATAGCCTATCCGGTATTCCTTGTTTCCAGTACCTCAGTTATACTTACCACCAGTATGCTTACTGATCCATTAACCTATGCTTTATTTCTGACTCGCATGTGATAGTTTTGCTTATGCCTTGTACATAGCCTTAGACCTTTGTTTATTGATCTTTCCAGTAGTTACTTAGTATATAAACTCTTGTATATGTACCATAGTTCCTCAGTCTAAATATCATGTTAGTCCTCACACTAGCCTTCACACTACATCCTCATATCAAGTTCTAGTCCTTCAACTTAGTCATTATCCGTCTCAGACCTAGGGAGTAATTCCCTAGGCCAGAGTTCCAATCCTCTGATTCTCTGATCCTCCGCTCATCTGATCCTCCGAATTTTCCAGAAGTCTATCTGGATCTTTCCCACGGTCCTTCGGATTTTGTCCTTGCAGCCTTTATACCCTATGGCTATATATTATATAACATCCCACATTCTTTAGCCATTCTGACTATCTCAGATCATGAAACATATCACTGGGATGCTATTGCACCAACTCTTAAGGAAGTTGGTGGTCGGGAACATGAGTTATGATCATTTTACTGCCGGCCATGTCTTGCTACCAAATATCTATATTGGGATGCCATAACCCTATTTGGGCAGGCTAGAATCTTATCAGAATGGCTCTATATGTATCATAGTCATGTAACTACATGGTCTTGAACCAATTTTGCAATATCTTTGGCCAACATGGGTGGATGTAGGGGGAGGAGAAAACATACAGCATCACAAAAAATTATTAGCAATCCAAAACTAACCCTATCATCTTCTGTGGCCTTTAAAATGGTGGGGAGAAAGTTGTTTGGATGTTTGCTGATGTTTATGACCTCTGGTGTCTAACCACCCCTGACTACCAGGTGCACCAAGCCCACCACCTCACAAGAAATTCCTGGTGTCTCAAGACTTGGTTAATCATCTTCTGTGGCCTTTAAAAAGGTGGGAAGAAACTTGTTTGGGTGGTTGCTGATGTTTGTGACCTTGGATATCAGATCATCTTCTGACCTCTAGATGCACCAAGCCCACCACCTCATAAAAAATTCCCGTTGTCTCAAGACTTGGCCCATTATCTTCTGTGGCCTTTAAAAAGGTAGGGAGAAACTTGTTTGGATCTTTGCTGATGTTTGTGACCTCTGATGTCCGGCCACTCCAAACCTCCAGGTACATCAAGCCCACCACCTCACAAAAAATTCCTGTCCTTTTAAAACTTGGTCCATCATTTTTGGTGGCCTTGAAAATAGTGGGAATAAACTTGCTTTCATGTTTTCTTCAGTATAGGACCTCCAGAGCCAGACCACCCCCTGACCTCCAGATGTATCAAGCCCACTATACACCCTATGGCTATATTATATATAACATCCCACATTCTTTAGCCATTCTGACTATCTCAGATCATGAAACATATCACTGGGATGCTATTGCACCAACTCTTAAGGAAGTTGGTGGTCGGGAACATGAGTTATGATCATTTTACTGCCGGCCATGTCTTGCTACCAAATATCTATATTGGGATGCCATAACCCTATTTGGGCAGGCTAGAATCTTATCAGAATGGCTCTATATGTATCATAGTCATGTAACTACATGGTCTTGAACCAATTTTGCAATATCTTTGGCCAACATGGGTGGATGTAGGGGGAGGAAAAACATACAGCATCACAAAAAATTATTAGCAATCCAAAACTAACCCTATCATCTTCTGTGGCCTTTAAAATGGTGGGGAGAAAGTTGTTTGGATGTTTGCTGATGTTTATGACCTCTGGTGTCTAACCACCCCTGACTACCAGGTGCACCAAGCCCACCACCTCACAAGAAATTCCTGGTGTCTCAAGACTTGGTTAATCATCTTCTGTGGCCTTTAAAAAGGTGGGAAGAAACTTGTTTGGGTGGTTGCTGATGTTTGTGACCTTGGATATCAGATCATCTTCTGACCTCTAGATGCACCAAGCCCACCACCTCATAAAAAATTCCCGTTGTCTCAAGACTTGGCCCATTATCTTCTGTGGCCTTTAAAAAGGTAGGGAGAAACTTGTTTGGATCTTTGCTGAGTTTGTGACCT